CAGACTTTGAGGGACTGTTCACAGGGTGGCCTGAGCAGATGTAATATTTAGAGGAAACTTCAGATTTGGATGAATTGCATGTGGAAATTTAGCTCTGGAACACAGCAGCTTTGCTGTTTTTCACTGGTTAATGTTCATCTATGTTCCTTTAACTGGAGACTATGGACTCCTTGAATACAGTGGTGATTTTTTAACTAATTTGCTGGGTTGAACCATGAGGACCATGTATTAGAATTAGCAAATAATTTAATACTAGCTACACGTAAAAATGTAGCTAGTATTAAATTAACTGGTCTGACCTTGTGTGTTTGAATAGGGGAATTGGCTGGGACTGACTTGCTTCTTCTCTTCTTTCTGGGAAGGGCTGAGACTCGCTATCGTTGTGGCAGCTGCAATTTGAGGTTCAAGTCAGACCATACTAATGCAATGTGCTGTTTCAGGCAAAAACTAAAGAATATCTTCTGAAAAGTAGGGACTCTATGGAGCATGCTTCCCTTAGCTGCCATATCTCCCACACTTGTCATCCAGCCCATTAGGATCATGATGGGAGGGAGGGGAACCAAGATGGGAGGGGCAAACTAGGGCTGTAATAGTGTAGTTGATTAACTGATAAGTAGAAGCTTATAGGTTAGTGCTATAGACTACATGCATTCTCTCCCACCCTTACCAGTAAATTTTTTAGCAGGCTGGCCAGCAGCTTAGCTCAGTCCTGGCTCGTGCCAGGTCCGGGACCTTCCCCTGCTGTGGCTCTGACCAGGCAGGCGGGCAGTCCAGCTCAGTTCCAGCTCGCGCTGGGTCCCGGAATTCAACTCCCCCTTCTCTCCTGCAGACAGGGGCTGCGGTATCAGAGGCAGCAGCATGGGGCAACAGGCAGCCAGTCCATGAGGGGAGCTGTCTTTTAAACTGACTCCCCTCATGGACCAGCTTCCACCTGGCACCCCCGCGCAGCTGCCTCTGATACAGAGGCAGCAGCACAGAGTGGCAGGGGGCTCTGCAGAAGTGGGGCCCAAGCTCACTGACTGCTGCCCCCGTACTTGAGAACTATAGAATAGTCGAGTAACCGATACAAATTCATGAGATAAATATCAATTAATTGAGTAGTTGATTAAACATCCCTAGCACAAACTCCCATAGATTTTTTTTTTTTCTTAACAGAAAGATGGAGGCTGATCATTCCTCCTGCATTTAGGAAGGAGTGGGGGATCTTGGTTTCTCCTAGAAAGAAACCACCTCCTGAACTATAAACATCTGTTAATGCAACCTCTGGTACCCAGTAGAATTACAAATCAATGGGATAATGTGCTAGCTGCCTACATATTGCCCAGAAGGGGCATCTGAAACTGGAGAGAATGGGTAGTGTGGTGGTTCCAGTGCTAGTTTGGAATGACTCCCTGCTCTGCTAGACTGCCTGTGTACCCTTGGATATCAGAGAGACGCTGAGTGATTTGCCCAGCTATACAGTGGAGACTGGAAGCGGGAGAGCAGTTTGGGCCTGAGGATCTGTTGCACAGTGATACCATTCTGAGGAGAGAGAGATGGCTATGCAGTGCAAGTTTAAGGATACTGTACACACTCCACACCCTAATCCTGATAGGATTATGATACTGGCTTCCACATCACAAAACAGGAGTTGTGTGCAGTGTAGAGGAACTCCAAGAAATGCTGACTCTTGGTAAGGTAATAAGTACTCTACCCACAGTTTGCTGACCAAAGTGTCACACTGGGACATGGGTAGAGATTTCCCAACAACTTCTTGTATCAGCTAGTTCTGGAAGCCAAGAGGGAGACTGTCTTGTCTTATTCTTAAGTAACACTGAGAAACTGATTCAGCCAAGTTAGTCGCTGTGACACAAGCAGTAGTGTCTACAACACAATAAGGTTCGTCTTCCTTTGGGGCCATCAAATTTCAAGTGACAGTTCTAGAAAAGGGGTTCTAAAGCAAAAAATGAGGAAATGAAAATGGTTAGACTCAGCATGCAGGCTGGTCAGATACCACGAGTCCCAGGAAGCTTGTGTCCCTAAACTAGAGGGGGGTATGAAGGCAAGAAAACCAGTGTGGTTAAATAGTAAAGTTCAAGAGCTGGTCTGAACCAAACAAGAATGCTCTAGAAAATAAATCAAGCTGAGCAGCATAAACTGTCCGGTATTACGTAAGATGGGAATGAGGAGGGGTTTGAAGAACAAATTCAAAATCTTTACCTTGGATCAGAGGCAGTGAACCTGAGGAATCAGTAGGCCTCTGGATCAGGAATGTTAACATGATTATTAACCCATTAAACAATAACACTTAATTGGTTAACTGTTTTAATGTAGGGTCTGCCAGGAAGTAACTTTAATAATATAATTAACCTGAAGAACTCAGTGCCACAAGATAGTATTGAAACTGTGTACAAAGGTTTGAAAAACGACTGTTTACTTATATGGATAATGACAACCTCCAGGGATCACTTCAGTGCTATAAACTCTCCTGCTTCGTGACATACGCTAATGAGTGAGCAGCACCAGACATTTTCCCTGTGGACAAGCTATTACATAATTTTTCACCCAAGTGGGTCTTTTTTACCTTCCCCTGAAGCATGCATTGCTAGCAACTGTCCGACAGATACAAGGCCGAACAGACCACTGATCTGGACTGGGCATTCTTTTGTTCCTGTGGATGTAAGTAGTGTCTATACCTCGGAGGTTTCTGCTGTTGACAGCCTTAACAGTTGATGATTGTCAGTGAGTTTTGGCTCTTTGCTTCTGATAGCTACAAACTAGCCATGTATCTGAACAAGAGCAAACTCCTGTCTCTGCTGCTGACTGGCCAGTGAGGAGAGGTTGCTCCCAAGACGCTTGAAGTTTGCAGAAGAACAGTTTATTTCTTCAGATGCCTAGAATCTAGTCCCTGGTGCCTCCCATAAGCATTGACAAAGGGCTGGATGTTACTAGATCTGCTTGAGCTCACACCTGTCCTACTAGAGAAATGGGAAAATCTGCTTTGTACTGTGCCCTGGAGGCCAACAAATCCAGGCTGTGGCTGCAAGTTCCAAAATGTGAGCCCCTGCCAGCAGCTCCTGCTCACTTACGTTGACGGAGTGCCTCTGATTTCAGTGCTGGCAGTATATTACCGGGAGTGTCTCAGCACTTTGTGCCCCAGGAGTTTCTTACCATGCTCTGTGGGGAGCCATATGTTCTTGGTTTCTGCTGCTGCTTGAGGTGTCCTGGCTTTCCATGGAGTGGATGTCTATAAAAGTAGTGAGGAAAAACACAAATAACCAGCTTAGCTGCCACGTAGCTTTGTAGGAGTCAACAGAGTGACCTTGGGTACTGGTGCAAAGAGGGTGCCTAGGAGAGAAGGGATGCATTGTGCACAAGGAGAGAGGCCTGAGCAGTGACAAATGCAGTTTTGCCAAAAAAGTCAGGGTGTCAGATACAGGGCTTAAAAGGGACTGTCCCAGCCAGCATGTCACACGTAGCTTCAGAAGGGTAGCTGGGTTAGTCTGTAACTGGAAAACCTTAAAAAACACAGTCAGTGAACATCCGGTGCTGTCTTTAGCTACGCACCAGGCCATCGGAAGCTTGGTAAGCAATGGGCAGGATTCAGGAATGGCTGGAGAGGTCCCCGCACAAGTGTGACTTGCTCTGTTTGGCACATCATGGAGCTTGCTACACTGGATGAGTTGCAGCTAGGTACAGATACAGAAGTGAGGTCCAGTGCTTTTCTGCTACTGCTTGTGAAGAGCTCTTCTTGGAGCTCTTGTCTCCCTGCAGACATGCATGCCATGTTCCAAGCTGCTGCATTTCCTAATGTCACTGTGCTGCTTAAAAGTGTCATGCAAATATCCATTTAGAATTAGGCTCTTCAACAAAAATGCTGCTCTTCTTGGGTTGAGGAACAAGACTGATCATTCTGTCTGCCCTTCTGCTACTCAACCATAGTGGTTCTCAAGTTGTCTCTGGGACACTAAAGTGGGTCACAACTAATATTCTCTTTCCATCCATGTGTAGAATAAATTTTGTTATGGGCACCAAGGCATGTGTGGATGTGTACCACCAGTAGACACACATGATGCTGTGTGGGCAGCTATGTGTGCTC